CATGGCTGGCTGGGGAATTCTGGGAGTTGAAGTCCACTCATCTTAAAGTGGCCAAGTTTGGACAACACTGGCTTAATTGATGGCACCCAGAGCACGCCAACCCTGCTAGATTGAACTGGCTGGGCAGATACCATGGGAGACAGGCAGTGCCTCAAGGAACCAGGCTAAACGCAGGTCAAGGATTACCACACCTTCGGTATAAGATTTCAAACCCTCATGCCTTCAGGTGAATTCCTGAACAAATGCTGTTTCATTTATTAACTTCAACAGTTTCACTGTATTTACTGTGTGCTAAAAATTTCTTTTGCAGGAAAAATGTTGTTGACTTCCCTTCCCAAATGCATTTGGATTCTGTTTGCTTCCTGGAAGATCATGTTTGTCCACTTGCTTAGTTTAAGAAGGCTGCAACCATTTTTTTGCAAAGGGTAAAGATACAGACTCATTGAGCGATTCTGTCATGAGAAGCAATAATATTATGTACTTTACTTCAGTCAACATTTATTATTGCTGCCTGCATATAGCCCATGTATTGTGGAAATTAATTTAAATTGCTCATACGAGCTTGCAGATGTATGTAATACTTTAGCAACAGAAATAAACATATTCTAAAGCTCTTTACCTAACATGAATTAGGGATGGCACAACAAACAAATAAGAAAAACAACAACAAAACCCACCATCTTTTTTCTTGATCTCTGCAATGAATGAAAGTGCAATAACATTTTGGCATGAAATAGCAGTGGCTTCTTCCATTTAAATAAAACAAGATAATGAAGGTAGGATGGTCCCAGTACCACAGAACAATTAATATATTTCATTTAGTTACATGAAAAGGCAAACAGGAAAAGTCCTATTTATAAGGGATTCTCTCTTTTTTAAAGCAGGCAGTAAAACCAGGTTGGTATTTCATTTTTTTTTTTTTTAAGGTAGTAGAAAATTTGCTTGGGTAAGAACTCAGTAACTTCTAGAAGCAGCTTAGTGATTAAAAAGCAAAATGAACCACCACAAAGAGTGGCCATAAGTTAGGAGATCCAGAGAGAAATAAAGACAAAGGGTGCTAATTGAACCATAGTTTGCCATTACAAATTTGCCATTACACATTTTTTTTAGATTGCCATTACAAATTTGATCAATGAATGAATGAATGAGTGCTGCTTCTTTTCCCCAAAAATGTCTTTGCTACCCATTATATAAAGCCACAGTTTTGCTGTCTAGGTGCCTATGAATGCTGAGCTAAAGCTTTTTAACTTTTTTAAAAATGTGTAACTATCCAAGTGTTTACAACATGCACTGCCATTTTGAATTTTGAAACTGAAAAACTTGATTGCATTTTGAATTTTAACAATGACAGAAGACAATGAATTTGCTGAGTCAAATGAGAATGTTTCATGCTGCTAGGATGCAGAAATCCAGGGTCCCACTAGAGGGCAGCAAGAATTAGGGCTGTCTTTATCTCTTTATGGTCATCTAGTGCAGACTTTTTCAAATGTGTTCTATGGAACCCATGAGAACCTGATAGGATTCCATGAGAGATCAAGGCCGAAAAAGAAAGGAAAGAAAAGCCATTCACTCAAGCAGAAGCATCCACACCAAATTTCTAAGGCGGGGGGCCTCAACCTTGGCGACTTGAAGATGTGGGGGCTTCCCCCCCCCGCAATCTTTGAGGTGGAGGACCCCCATACTTCCAATTTCCCAGATTGGGGAAGCCGGTCTTAAGGGTAAAAAAAAAATGAGGGA